ATAAGCGCCGGGGGTAAAGCAACTCACTAACATTATTACGGTAATGACACCCAGTAAGCGCAAAAGCGCCGGGCCTCTAATGAGCGCCGGGTCTGGAAGTCCGTTGAAAATTAAGCACCCGGGCGCTTATTAGAGGAAATACGGTACACACGTGCGTTTGGATCCAAAATGAGTGTTTTTCTGACGATCTGACGGGCTTGCTTTGGAGATTTACGTAAGCCTTCCGACATTTGTGGGTAATGTAATAAATAGACTACGAGTTTCAAAACAGTTTATTTATGCATAACTAATCAACTTTAATCTTAAACACCGTGCATACTTTTCACTTCATTTGGGATATTTTAGTCTGACCTTTCTTGGGGTTCTTCATATTGTTTTAGCGTATTCAATTCAAATTCCACTGGTACACTAAATCATGACTGGACTCTCTACGAGTCCTTGAGATTGAGATATGTTTTAAAATATTTTTTTTGTCTCTATTTAGATACTTATAAAAACATGTTAATACTTTCAACTTGTTTCTCTATTTTGGAACTTTTAAATACACGTTTTAGCTTGTTTAAAACAGTTCAGATGTTTATGTACACCAATAAATCCTTCCAGAGGATCACGAGCCGGTATTCGGCTGGTCCCGGAATAACCAAGTGGGTCACGAATGTAGCTGCTTTTAAAAGATTTTAACTTGTTTTAAACAATACAATAACTTCCTAAATGACAGTTAGTTCCCCGTTGACATTCAGACATAATTTCTGAATCTGTTTTCTTTACGACAATAACAATGCGACAACCGATACCCTTCTTTCTCACCCAGCCAGTGTTGGGCCACACAGCACTGTTACCAGTTTGAATTGATCATTGTGACGAACAGCGGAGTGCCTGACTCTGAGGGTGTGGGTTCGAATCCCGGATGAGATTCAACCCCAAAAGTACTAGAATTTGTACTTTACTAAGAAAGTGTAATCATAAATGTTGCGGAGTTACACTTTCATTCTTGGGAACTACCTTGACTGTTAGATCTATATGATATTGATAATATTAAGGGAAAAAGCCGAGACATCTTTTCACTTTTCTTTGTCAATACTGAAGTAATTATGCATTTTGCGGATAGTAACTTTGATCGACTGGCCAAGGCTCAGAGATTGACTGGCAAACGCAAACGCAATAATGTTGGTCTCGTCGCCATATATGGCTGAGATAATGCCGATGTGAGGGTTAGATTTGTTACTATGTATACAGTTAAATACTTACTCTCAGTCCGTACTTTTATCCCATCACGCGACCAACTTCACACTGTATAATCATAAACTACCATGTGCATTTCATATTCAACTCACGGTTTTGTTTCCGTTTATAACCGAAGCAATAAATATTAACACATAATAATAATAACAATTAAAACCAGATATATGTACATGAATTCATAGTCAGTAAATTAATATAATTGTATGGTCATTAAAAATGTCTGTAGTCCTCAGAGTAAGTTCTTTATTAAACGTTAGTTCAATCCAACAACAATTGTAACAAGCCTTGTCGTTTTTCATCAGTCACAATAAGACTAAAACGAACGAAGAGCTGCTCGTTGGCCACTGCCGCGAAACTGCATCTATCTGTCAAGTTACGTCATGTTGTGACGTCATATATCTTGTACTGGGTCATACCAGGGCAGGTTTTCGGAGAGGCAGAAGTGCGGGGAATGTGAATCTTGTATGAGATGTAATGTCAGGGTAAGTAAACTGAAAATGTGGAGGCAGTCATCATAAGCATGGGTTATTGTTTTGTTTGAAGGGGGCCATATTTGTTCAGTGTCCAAATGACTAGGTCACCTTAGGTTATTTGGAAGTATTTCGGCAAATGTGTATGTTTACCACCCTGGCTGCCGAGTCGATTATTCTGAAGCACATTTGTTGTCTACTAAATAATGAACGTTGTGAAGGAATTCAGTCACGTAAAACTGGGTCTACATTTAGATGTGGGTTTATGCAGAGATGGAGAATATTGGATGTACAAATTCAAAGACACACACACGCCTTTGTTTACATAGCGACTCATGTTTATGTGCAGTGCATGTTTCGAAACACAAATGTCATCTGATCAGTTACTTATGTCACATAATGTGGAAATAGATAGGCATAGATCGACCTTTGCTGTTGCGTCCGGCACCACAGAACCGTTGACAAGTCCTTCAGACCGCTTGATATGAAAGATGACGTGATGTGAACGATGTCTAGTAACTGAATACTAGAAACTTGGTGCGCTTCCAGAAATACTGAATGAGACCGATGTATCTACAGGTCGGGGCCTGCTCCTTTCTGTTCAAAAGCGACAACATTCTCTCACTGGACAATTTAAAGTCTTCGCTTCAAAGTAATTAAATATCATCACCAGAATATTCCATTATTATATCATTACACCTTGTGTTAAACCTAATTGTTGAAGTATCCATATATATTTGCCAAGTATCTAATATATTGCCAGCTGTCAGGGTAAACGTGGAGTAGATTGTGACAGTTCTACATTAGATCCGGTTGTGAAAGCCAACTGGATAGTTCATCGTATATGTTATGTGTAGTAGTAGACCTCTACATAACCAGTAGTACTATAAACCAACTGGATATATTGTGTGTAGATTTAGTACTAAACCACCAACTGGATATATTGTATGTAGATCTAGTACTAAACCACCAACTGGATATATTGTATGTAGATCTAGTATTAAACCATCAACTGGATATATTGTATGTAGATCTAGTACTAAACCACCAACTGGATAGATTGTATGTAGATCTAGTACTAAACCACCAACTGGATATATTGTATGTAGATCTAGTACTAAACCACCAACTGGATATATTGTATGTAGATCAAGTACTAAACCACCAACTGGATATATTGTATGTAGATCTAGTACTAAACCACCAACTGGATATATTGTATGTAGATGTACTAAACCACCAACTTGATATATTGTGTGTAGATCTAGTACTAAACCACCAACTGGATATATTGTATGTAGATCAAGTACTAAACCACCAACTGGATATATTGTATGTAGATCAAGTACTAAACCACCAGCTGGATATATTGTATGTAGATCTAGTACTAAACCACCAACTGGATATATTGTATGTAGTTGTACTAAACCACCAACTGGATATATTGTGTGTAGATCTAGTACTAAACCACCAACTGGATATACTGTGTGTAGATGTAGTACTAAACCACCAGCTGGATATTTTGTATGTAGATCTAGTACTAAACCACCAACTGTATATATATTGTATGTAGATCTAGTACTAAACCACCAACTGGATATATTGTATGTAGATCTAGTACTAAACCACCAACTGGATATATGGTATGTCTATCTAGTACTAAACCACCAACTGGATATATTGTATGTAGATCTAGTACTAAACCATTAACTGGATATATTGTATGTAGATCTAGTACTAAACTACCAACTGGATATATTGTGTGTAGATATAGTACTAAACTACCAACTGGATATATTGTATATAGATCTAGTGCTTACTACTGAACCACCAACTGGATATAATATAATGAGCTAGTACTTAAATCATGACAGAATATAAAGAGGGAGTACAAAAAGAACAATTGGATATTATGTACAGGTCTTGTAACACCAAAACTATCATCAAAGTACATTTAACTAAGACCAGAGACCATATAATAAAAAATGGTCTCTGCTAAGACCCTGCATAGACAATATACTCATATGGTTTTAATGTTACCATCCCTAATTCTTAAAACTTACTGCACATTATTTATAGATCTATTGCTAATGATAAACTGAATATAATGTATGGAACTAGTATCTGTCGTTTCTGAAATCTAACTGTTTTTCTTCAGCCTCCAGTGACGTGACGAGGAGGGGAGCCACCGCAACAGTGACACGAGCTGGTGTAGCACGTCAAGGAGGTGAGAGCAGTAGGCAGGACTGTGATGCTGGAATGTCACGCCAGTGTTAACACTTGTATCACAGATCAGGAAAAGTTATTGTTCCACGTCAAAGAGGTGAGAGCAGTAGGCAGGACTGTGGTACTGGAATGTCACGCCAGTGTCAACACTTGTATCACAGATCAGGATAAGTTATTGTTCCACGTCAAGGAGGTGAGAGCAATAGGCAGGACTGTGGTACTGGAATGTCACGCCAGTGTCAACACTTGTATCACAGATCAGGATAAGTTATTGTTCCACGTCAAGGAGGTGAGAGAAGTAGGCAGGACTGTGGTACTGGAATGTCACGCCAGTGTCAACACTTGTATCACAGATCAGGATAAGTTATTGTTCCACATCAAGGAGGTGAGAGCAGTAGGCAGGACTGTGGTACTGGAATGTCACGCCAGTGTCAACACTTGTATCACAGATCAGGATGAGTTATTGTTCCACATCAAGGAGGTGAGAGCAGTAGGCAGGATTGTGGTACTGGAATGTCACGCCAGTGTCAACACTTGTATCACAGATCAGGATAGGTTATTGTTCCACGTCAAGGAGGTGAGAGCAGTAGGCAGGACTGTGGTACTGGAATGTCACGCCAGTGTCAACACTTGTATCACAGATCAGGATAAGTTATTATTCCACATCAAGGAGGTTAGAGCAGTAGGCAGGACTGTGGTACTGGAATGTCACGCCAGTGTCAACACTTGTATCACAGATCAGGATAAGTTATTGTGAAGGAGTTGAAACAGTAAATACAGAATGTTTTCATTCACGTCTAAACACTGTTATAGACATTATGTCTGAACAAAATGTACAGTGTTATTTCCTGTGTTCTAATAATAGACTGTGACATCGCGTGTACAATGTACAAGTATTTGCTGTATTGTATTGATAGACAGTGACATCACGTGTACAATGTACAAGTATTTGCTGTATTGTATTGATAGACAGTGACATCACGTGTACAATGTACAAGTATTTGCTGTATTGTATTGATAGACAGTGACATCACGTGTACAATGTGCAAGTTTCTGTTACAGTGACACAGAAAGACTCCAACCCCCGTCATGATGACGACCTCCTCGGTGCCTGCGGCGTTGGGAACATGGCCGCGGTGGAGCGTGTCCTGGATCTGGGACAGGTGGACATCAACTGCAGAGGAGAGGGGAGCCGGACACCGGTGATGGAGGCAGCACTGGCGGGACACATGGATGTGGTGGAGCTGCTACGGAAACGTGGAGCTAATGTGTCACTGGTGGACGAGGAGGGTAACAACATCCTTCACTACGCCTGTATGGATGGCGACGTGGGGACGGTGGAGTTGATACTGTCCCTGGACGGGGTGGACGTCAACCGTAGAGGAGGAGGGTTGAAATTGACACCGCTGATGATGGCAGCAGAGCGGGGACACACGAATGTGGTGGAGCTGCTACTGAATAGAGGAGCTGATGCGTCACTGGTGGACATGTTCGGTTATGACATCCTCCACTTGACCTGTTATAGAGGCGACGTGAGGACGGTGGAGTTGATACTGTCCCGGGACGTGGTGGACGTCAACGCCAGGAACAAACTCAGGAAGACAGTGGCCCAAATGGCGAAAGACGGGGGACTTCCTCAACTGGCGGATTTCGTGGAGTCACGTCGTGCTCGGTGAAGTCGTGTTGTGTGGTGCAGACAGTGACGATGCTGACAAACTGAGTCACAGATATGTGACAAACAGACAACAAACTGTTTGTTTACATCTCGATCCACTGTGAGGCCATGTTCGCCCAGCTGACGGGGCGCCAAATGTACAGTGAATGAACCGGGGGGAAAACACAGTCAATCCATAATTATATTGAACTTGTCTAACTTGGTAATTAATTTCTGATCCACATGGAATCTGCGTTTATATCAAGAAAATGCATATCATACAATATTTAACACACCACAGAAAATATATATTGTTATACAAACGTATCTTGTTTATGTCAGCTGGCTGTCTACCGCTCAGTGCCGCACTGTGATGACGTCGGTTTCAAATATGTATACATTGTATACAATGTTACAACGTTATTATATCTTCACAGTGTAACTAAATTGTATAACATTCAACTTGAGCTGATTATTTTTCAAACAGCGCCTTTTCAAATGTTTATCCTCCTTGCCTTGCCTTGCCTTGCCTTGCCTAGCCTCGCCATCGGTGAAAGTGTCAGTTTGCTACTTCTCCACATAAATCATTATATAAAGCCTTCGGTGTAGCTAGTAAGCTCCCTAGTTTGAAATCTCGATGTCCAACAATTCATATCACTGTATAAAGTACATTTCCTTGCGATAACAGATAGATGCCATCCATGTCAAAATGAAGGGTCACTGAAAATGTCGGTGAATTAGATTTCCCTCCAACCAATCCTGCTGAAATAGTCAGTGTATTTGACGTGAATACCAAATGGAAAGAAGTGTTTAAGATTAGTTCATGCGCAGACTGTCTTTAAAGTAACGTTACACAGAACAGTTTAGATCAAACATCTGGTTGAAAATCCTGATCCTCCTATCTGGTTATGGCCTGAAACCCAGTTGTAAGATGAATCAGTTTCTACAAGCAAATCTGTCGGGGTACATAGCCGCAGTCAGTCTCCGCATACATGTTGATTATAAACTCATACCTATGACGGCCCTGTTATTCCTTGTGCCATAGCGACTGACTCAGAACAGCCATTGTCCGGATACACATTTATTTCCAAACACACCCAATTATTTATTTGATGCTAATCGCCATTCTCAATCCTCATCTTCACTATCAACCCGTGCCACTCATCAGTGAGTGTTGTTTATAGGCCAAGTTTTTGCACGAAAATTAACCTTTTTGTCTTGCACTTTATCTGCATAAAAAGTGTTTGTCAAGCAGTCTCAAAGCCAAAACAGTACAGATATCATAAGTGACTAATTAGGACATTTGTAGCCTGAACTGGTTGTAACGGTTAAGGTACGAAGATGAGTTCTTTATGGCTGTAGAAAGAACTCGGGATGTGTTGATGAACAGATCTTATGCGAACACAGGTAATACTATTTAACAGAATAGCATAATTAATTTACGCTTTACCTGATAGGTAACGTTTGGGAAATAACATGTAAGATTTTGCTATTACTATTCAGAACTCAGTTTGCGCTGCGCACAATGTTTCTTTCACTAGTTCATTACATGAGAATGCGCAATTTTGCATGGCCGACAGACAATATGCTGTCGCAGTGTTACTCTTTTCCGGTGCTAGGAAAGTTAGGAAATTCACTAGTCTATTTTCAAAGATGTAATTAAATGTATTTTCACTTCCTATACAGGCAATCTTTGCAGAGTACAGGTATTTTATACACTGTCAGGAGTTTGTTTTTTTTGAGTATTTTACTAGCTCTTCACTTAATATGGCTGTGCGATGCACCTGTATATAAGCATAATCTATGCAAGAGTATCTTCCCTGTGAAAGTTATGTGTGTGTTTTTCAAAACAGTACAGAAATGCAAGCAAGCATATCTGATGTTCTCTATGGTAAAACGTCCAAAGGCTGCAATGGGAGAAATGGCGACGGCAGAAAGGATGGTGATGGCGGCGGCAGGAAAGATGGTGACTACGGTGGCGACGGCAGAAATGATGGTGACAACGGTGGCGACGGGAGGAAGGATGGTGACAACGGTGGCGACGGCAGGAAAGATGGTGACAACGATTGCGACGGCAGGAAGGAAGGCAACAACCGTTTCCTTTCGTTTTCTTTTAATTTTTCTTTGTGAAATTATTTGGAGAAATAAAAAAAACACTTGAGTTGAGTCAATACAATTTTGATAACTATCATTAGATGTCTTGATGTAAAGTGATAATTCAGTTTTAAGGTCTATCTGGCGTAGATGTATTTGGTAACATTAAAACAACTGTTCATTCTGCCCGTTCTATCTGCGGTAGAAAGCACCGAGTCGCGTTCTATCTGAGGTAGAAAGCACTCGCCATCAATAGAAATATCACTTTACACTAGGCAATGGAGTATAATGGTCTCGCCAGTTCTTTCTTGCTGGGGGCGGTGGGGTAGCCTAGTGGTTAAAGCGTTGGCTCGTCACGCCGAAGACCTGGGTTCGAATCCCCACATAGGTACAATGTGTGAAGCCCCGCCGTGGTGTCCCCCGCCGTGATGTTGCTGGAATATTGCTAAAAGCGGCGTAAAACCAAAACTCAGTCAGTCAGTCATGCTTGCTGGTTTTGGTATAGTGCAAAACAATGGAGTGACGTCACATGAGTTTTATAAGTCCCTCAGTCGTGTCTGTCACAACGTCACGTTTAAGGTAGTGTATGTTGTATTTGTAAATAGTTGTCTCTTCGTCTGTCCAGTGTGGTCTTTAACTATATATAGTCTCTCTTCACCTACGATTTGGACCCTTGTTATGGTTGAGAGGTCCTGTGGCTCTTGTTCAAGCAGAAAGTCACACAGACGCGAGATAGTAACCCCAAAGGCTTGAATTCTTAGAACATTGTTCAACGTGAAGGACAAGTTAACTATTGAAAAGCCGAAGTTATCCATCATGTCGCACAGTGTTACAAGAAGTTGTTTCGGTTTTTTTTTCACTTTAAATGTTTATGTCAAGAACATTGACTTTTATATTTCTGGAGTATATGAAACAGTCTCACTGGTCGGGTGGGTAAATCAGTAGAAGAGAACTGACGGTGGTAATAAACGGTGTCAGGTCATCACTTTCCCTGAGTCTAAAGTGAGCGCTCTGGCCAAATCGTCTTGTGTCGATGTTGGAAATGGTAAAGAACGTAAAGAACAGCAAGACATGGGATGCCTACTCCTCACGTAAATTTCTTACCCCAAACTTAAACAGTACCAAATAAGAAGCCAAATGGTATGAAGCCAAATGGTATGTGTGTTCTATTTTCTCAATTGAGTACAGATTCGATAACTATTTTGTTGAGTCATATCGGAATTCGAACCCGCACTGTCAGAGCGAGGCACCTGATGGCTAGCACACAACGTCAGCGATCTAACCCACTCAGCCACCACGGCTTCCCGTCAAATGGAAATCTGACAACTCGTAGTCTTGATCTCGTACTTTGTGTACGCCTCCGACATTTCACGTATTGTGTCTCAGTAAACTTCAAATGGCGTATATTTTCATTGTTGACAAATTGTCCTTCATAAACATATCCATGAAATTGTGTCAGTAGTAGCTTACAGTGGTGTACAAAACTGAAAAAAAATAATATTTTGACCAGAATTTAGAGTCTTTACTGAGATTACAAAACGTCAAGCAGATTTATGGAGTTTTCAGAATTTTCATGACATAAACTCCATTTGTATCAAAGACTTTCGGTGAATACTAATGTCAACTACTCGCTCTTCGTGCCGTGGCAGCTGCTAGGGTAGCCTAGTGGTTAAAGCGGTTGCTCGTCACTTGTATCAAAGACTTTCTGTGAATACTAATGTCAACTAGTAGCTCTTCGTGCCGTGGCAGTTACTAGGGTGGCCTAGTGGTTAAAGCCGTTGCTCGTCACTTGTATCAAAGACTTTCTGTGAATACTAATGTCAACTACTCGCACTTCGTGCCGTGGCAGTTACTAGGGTAGCCTAGCGGTTAAAGCGGTTGCTCGTCACTTGTATCAAAGACTTTCGGTGAATACTAATGTCAACTACTAGCACTACGTGGTGTGGCAGCTACTAGGGTAGCCTAGTGGTTAAAGAGGTTGCTCGTCACTTGTATCAAAGACTTCTGTGAATACTAATGTCAACTAGTCGCTCTTCATTTCGTGGAAGCTACTAGGGTAGCCTAGCGGTTAAAGCGGTTGCTCGTCACTTGTATCAAAGACTTTCTGTGAATACTAATGTCAACTACTCGCACTTCGTGCCGTGGCAGTTACTAGGGTAGCCTAGCGGTTAAAGCGGTTGCTCGTCACTTGTATCAAAGACTTTCGGGGAATACTAATGTCAACTACTCGCACTTCGTGCCGTGGCAGCTACTAGGGTAGCCTAGTGGTTAAAGCGGTTGCTCGTCACTTGTATCAAAGACTTTCTGTGAATACTAATGTCAACTAGTAGCTCTTCGTGTCGTGGCAGTTACTAGGGTAACCTAGCGGTTAAAGCAGTTGCTCGTCACTTGTATCAAAGACTTTCTGTGAATACTAATGTCAACTACTCGCACTACGTGCCGTGGCAGCTACGAGGGTAGCCTAGTGGTTAAAGCGGTTGCTCGTCACATCGAAGACGCGGGTTCGATTCCTAATATGGGTACAATGTGTGAGCCCATATCTGGTTCCCTCCGCCGTGATATATCTGGAATATTGCTGAAATTGGCGTAAACCTAAACTCACTCATTCATGACAGCACATTAGAGTCATTCAGTTGTCTGTCTCAAGATTCTATTCATTACATTAATTTACAGAATATGATAAACTGTTCCGTAAAAGTGTTGAACGTTTCTCGTGAATCTTTGTAACGTTTTAACACTTTTTGAAAAGCTATGTTGCTTTACAAAATAGAGCATCTCTACTGCCTTCTGAAACAGTGCCCTGGTTTGATGATGTTGCCTACTAAATATGTCAGAGTCTAATACTACAATGAATGCTTTGACTCCGATTTAAGAAAGATGATAAATGACCAGTTGTGCGATGGGTTTGCTTGGTGTCCTGACATGAAGGTTGTTTACAGTAGATGATATTTTGGAGACACCATATGCGTGTATCAATATATTACAGACTATAGACCTGTGTGGTTTGCTTGGTGTCCTGACATTAAGATTGTTTACAGTAGATGATATTTTGGTGACGGTATATGCGTGTATCCATATATTACAGACTATAGACCTGTGTGGTATGCTTGGTGTCCTGACATGAAGATTGTTTACAGTAGATGATATTTTGGTGACGGTATATGCGTGTATCAATATATTACAGACTATAGACCTGTGTGGTATGCTTGGTGTCCTGACATGAAGATTGTTTACAGTAGATGATATTTTGGAGACACCATATGCGTGTATCAATATATTACAGACTATAGACCTGTGTGGTTTGCTTGGTGTCCTGACATTAAGATTGTTTACAGTAGATGATATTTTGGTGACGGTATATGCGTGTATCCATATATTACAGACTATAGACCTGTGTGGTATGCTTGGTGTCCTGACATGAAGAATGTTTATAGTGGATGATATTTTGGTGACACCATATGCATGTATCCATATATTACAGACTATAGACCTGTGTGGTATGCTTGGTGTCCAGACATGAAGATTGTTTACAGTAGATGATATTTTGGAGACACCATATGCGTGTATCAATATATTACAGACTATAGACCTGTGTGGTTTGCTTGGTGTCCTGACATTAAGATTGTTTACAGTAGATGATATTTTGGTGACGGTATATGCGTGTATCCATATATTACAGACTATATACCTGTGTGGTATGCTTGGTGTCCTGACATGAAGATTGTTTACAGTAGATGATATTTTGGTGACACCATATGCGTGTATCAATATATTACAGACTATATACCTGTGTGGTTTGCTTGGTGTCCTGACATGAAGATTGTTTACAGTGGATGATATGTTTGTGACCGTATATGCGTGTATCAATATATTACAGACTATAAACCTTTGTGGTATGCTTGGTGTCCTGACATGAAGATTGTTTATAGTGGATGATATTTTGGTGACACCATATGCGTGTATCCATATATTACAGACTATATACCTGTGTTGTTTGCTTGGTGTCCTGACATGAAGATTGTTTACAGTAGATGATATTTTGGTGACACCATATGCGCGTATCCATATATTACAGACTATAGACCTGTGTGGTATGCTTGGTGTCCTGACATGAAGATTGTTTATAGTGGATGATATTTTGGTGACACCATATGCGTGTATCCATATATTACAGACTATAGACCTGTGTGGTATGCTTGGTGTCCTGACATGAAGATTGTTTACAGTAGATGATATTTTGGTGACACCATATGCGCGTATCCATATATTACAGACTATATACCTGTGTGGTATGCTTGGTGTCCTGACATGAAGATTGTTGATAGTGGATGATATTTTGGTGACACCATATGCGTGTATCCATATATTACAGACTATATACCTGTGTGGTATGCTTGGTGTCCTGACATGAAGATTGTTTACAGTAGATGATATTTTGGTGACACCATATGCGCGTATCCATATATTACAGACTATATACCTGTGTGGTATGCTTGGTGTCCTGACATGAAGATTGTTTATAGTGGATGATATTTTGGTGACACCATATGCGTGTATCCATATATTACAGACTATAGACCTGTGTGGTATGCTTGGTGTCCTGACATGAAGATTGTTTACAGTAGATGATATTTTTGTGACGGTATATGCGCGTATCCATATATTACAGACTATAGACCTGTGTGGTATGCTTGGTGTCCTGACATGAAGATTGTTTACAGTAGATGATATTTTTGTGACGGTATATGCGTGTATCCATATATTACAGACTATAGACCTGTGTGGTATGCTTGGTGTCCTGACATGAAGATTGTTTACAGTAGATGATATTTTTGTGACGGTATATGCGCGTATCCATATATTACAGACCATAGACCTGTGTGGTATGCTTGGTGTCCTGACATGAAGATTGTTTACAGTAGATGATATTTTGGTGACGGTATATGCGTGTATCCATATATTACAGACTATAGACCTGTGTGGTATGCTTGGTGTCCTGACATGAAGATTGTTTACAGTAGATGATATTTTTGTGACGGTATATGCGTGTATCCATATATTACAGACTATAGACCTGTGTGGTATGTTTGGTGTCCTGACATGAAGATTGTTTACAGTAGATGATATTTTGGTGACACCATATGCGCGTATCCATATATTACAGACTATATACCTGTGTGGTATGCTTGGTGTCCTGACATGAAGATTGTTTATAGTGGATGATATTTTGGTGACACCATATGCGTGTATCCATATATTACAGACTATATACCTGTGTGGTATGCTTGGTGTCCAGACATGAAGATTGTTTACAGTAGATGATATTTTTGTGCCGGTATATGCGTGTATCCATATATTACAGACTATAGACCTGTGTGGTATGCTTGGTGTCCTGACATGAAGATTGTTTACAGTAGATGATATTTTTGTGCCGGTATATGCGTGTATCATATATTACAGACTATAGACCTGTGTGATATGCTTGGTGTCCTGACATGAAGATGGTTTACAGTGGATGATATTTTTGTGACGGTATATGCGTGAATCAATATATTACAGACTATAGACCTGTGTGGTATGCTTGGTTTATTACAAGATGAGGTGTAAAATGGTTCGTCGGCAACACCAGTCTATGTAGGACACTTTCCATCTGAAATAGAAGAAAAACACATGTTTCGGGTAATCATTCTTTAAGTAAACATGGATGGCTTCCTTTCTCAGACAATAGAGGCAGAAAATCTTGTCTTGTTTGAAAGGACACAATTGCATCCTCGTGTTTGATATTGTGTTGAGGCATTTTCGGTGCTTCCAAACTCGCTTATTTTTAACTAATAATGTTTTAACCCCCTGGATGCCGAGTGTTTTTTTCAGGCGCACATTTTCATACGGTGTGAAAAGTGAACGTTGTGCGAGATTTGCGCTCGCGTGGTCCTGGATCAGCGTACGGCTATAAAACAACACAGAAATGTAGAAATTTAGAAATTTTGTTATGCGTTAAAAAACAGTAAATTTCTCCGCTTTTTATCGCGCACCGATAAAAGCACTGTGCTACGATTTTTTTAATTTGGCATCTTTACAGAAAGTGTGAGCGAAGAAAATACAGCCTGATATCTGAACGACATAGGTGTATATGAAATGGGTTTATGTGCTTATGCATGACTTTATACGCTCAACATTAAAAGTGACTCACAATGAATGTCAAAAATGAATGTTCTTCTATGACAACAAACGACGACAGAGAGGTCATACACGTATAATGATAAGGGGGCATAACTCCGTTATGCTTAACACTAGGTCTATGTTACTCAGATCACATGGAGAAAATTTGTTCGGTATTTTCTGTTCACGGTGAACCAAACTATTCTAATTCGAAGTTCCCCAATGTGAACGTATACATTATAATACTGAGTGTGTAACCGGAAGGATAGGGCGATTGTGTTTACTCTTGTTCAACCGACCTTTCACAATTTATAAGAAAAGATGACAACGTACTGCATGTGAAAGCACGTAATAGCGATTTGGATGGCCTCATCCAAGTTAGTTAGTTCTTAGATTCCTATATTCTCCTGTTTGTGTAGATGCATTTTAACTAATTTTGCATCATTATTGACAGAGTACAAGCCATATCTTCAAATGTAATGAAATTACTGAAAAGAGTACAATATTTTTGTTGACGTCATTGCTCTTTTGATGTATTTTGCGACTTCGGAAAAAGACGACATTGGCATGCTGCTTAGTATCTTACCTAATTTCCATTAATTGTGTGAAACGTCTCGGCTTCTCTATCAGAATTTAACACTCTTTAGACAAAACATAACATGACTGATTTTACCATTTAAATATGAATACATCAACAAATAGACGGTTTTACAGCGTATCTTATTGTGAACAACACGCGCACCTGTTTGGCATCAATTTAACATAAATGAAACATAATATTTCACAACATCCAAATATTTGATTAGGATAAGAATTTTCTTTGTTTATGATTATGTAGCTATTTCTCTTCATTAGTATGCAATGAAAGATGCAAAAAGATAGCTTTTTATATATGGAACTAAATGTATATATTAGACTATGGATGTAAGATTTGTCCAAACACTAAATTTTGATTGTTTGAATAATATTTACATAAGAAATTGACACATTTAGTGCAGTACACTATATTCTAAAACTTTACACAAGCGTTAGAAGATCAAACGTAGCCATAACTGCAACTACTTTAGTTCCTATGATGTACAATATTCAATGTATTTGGACTAATATTGCAGTTTCATATGAACAGGTTAATGAAAGGCGATTTAATTCAACCTTACAAGTAGAACTGATAATATTAATGACAATGACTTATAATGTTATGAAATATATCTGCACACATATTTAAAGGAATTGTCTTGTTCATTGCATATTTTTGTGTCGTTTTATAGACAAAACGATGATGTATATTGATTGGCCAGGTGCGCGTTTGTCGGAAACGTTTTATGATTCACTATCATTGTTTTCGATAATATACTCAATTCATATTCGATTAAAAAATATAGTGATGACAGGATATGAAACTCTAACTATATTTATACGAAAATTGTTTAAAAATATATAATTCATGTCATGTCTTAATTTGGACAAATCTTACATCCATATTCTATAGTTCCATATATAAAAAGCTATCTTTTTGCGTCTTTAATTGCATACTTATGAAGAGAAATAGCTACATAATCATATACAAAGAAAATTCTTATCCTAAACAAAATTTTCGGGTGTTGTGAAATATTATTTTTCATTAACGTTAAATTGATGCCAAACAGGTGCGCGTGTTGTTCACAATAAGATACACAGTCAAACCATCTAATTGTTGATATATTCAGGACACTATTTAAATGGAAAAATCAGTCATTTTATGTTTTGTCTAAAATGTGTTAAATTCTGATAGAGAAACCGAGACCTTTTATACAATTAATGGACATTAGGTGACATATATACTGATCAGCATGCCAATGTTCTCTTTTTCCGACGTCGCAAAATGCATAAAACAATCAATGACGTCAACTAAATGTTGTATTATTTTCAGCAAAATCATTACATTTGAAGATATGGCTAGTACTCTGGTAATAACGATGCAAAATTAGTCAAGATACATCTACACACACAGGAGCAAATAGGAATCTAAAAACTAACTTCTATATCGGATAGGGCCATCCAAATTGCTATTGCATGCTTGTCATCTTGTCTTATAAATTGTGAAACTATAAAAGCGTATCCGCTAACATTGGGGAACTTTGAATTTGAATAGTTTGGTTCACCGAGAACAGAAAATACCGAAAATATAACGTCCGAATCCACAACAAATTCTCTCCATGTTTTCTGAGTTACACTGACCTAGCGCTAAGCATAGCGGAGTTATGCGCCTTATCATTATACGTGTATGACCTCTCTGTCGTCGTTTGACGTCATAGAAGAAAATCCATTTTTGACATTTATTATGAGTCATTTTAATGTTGAGCGTACAACGTTATGCATAAGCACTTAAACCCAATTCATATACACCTATGTCGTTCAGATATCAGGCTGTATTTTCTTCGCTCACACTTTCCTTAAAGATGCCAAATTATAAAATCGTAGCACACCGTTTTATCGGTGTGCGATAAAAAGCGGAGAAATTTACTGTTTTTTAACGCATAACAAAAAATTGGATAACATTTAGAAAGGTCTATTTCTCAAACCGCCGCGATAGTTGCACTTATATTTATACCAACGGATAGGAAATTTAATATTCTACATGTCTGTGTAATTTTATAGCCGTACGCAGATCCAGGACCACGCGAGCGCAATTCTCGCACAACGTTCACTTTTCACACCGTATGAAAATGTGAGCCTGAAAAACACTCGGCATCCAGGGGGTTAAAACCCAAATCACTCACTCACTTATAATGGGTCTTCGGACACGCACAGTATTAGGAAACGCACTGTTCAACTTGTGAGCTTGGAAACAATTCCTCGTTATAACGCAAACGTACCAAAAGTTATGCTAAAAGGGCATCATGCAACGAGCATCGACCGACTTCGGGGTATAACGAGCATCGACCGCCTCCGGGGTATAACGAGCATCGACCGACTTCGGGGTATAACGAGCATCGACCGCCTCCGGGGTATAACAAACAGAGCATCTGCACGGAGAACAGAGGGTCAGGGACTCAGTCCTGTTCTGCTAAAATACAGTAAAAATATCACTTATTGGTACCCTGGTTAGCGCTAGGGGATAAAACTGATCTGCTCGGAGACAGGATACTGTGTTTCAATCTGCAATTCATTCCACTTGTCTCAGACTTGTAACACTGGTGTCAGCTACTCCCTCCTCATGCAACGACACAGCATTAGACTCCATCACTTGTCTGTCTGGGGTGGTGGGGTAGCCAACTGCTTAAAGCGTACCAGCAAATGGTCCTCCCTCCGAAGAAATAGCGAAAAGTGACAACAAAATAATGATCGTTTGTTAAACAACTTTTTTATTCGGGTGTCGAAAATTATGAGACAAATCATCAGAGTTGGTCTGTCGATTTCATGTGACTGTGCAAAATTTGGTTGTGCTGCAATTGTTAGATTTTGTGTTAGTGAGCAATTCATCGGTCTCAAATGAAATCAAACGGACCACAGTCACGCTGAAGACCCGGGTTCGATTCCCCATATGGGTACAATGTGTGAAGCTCTTTTCTGAAAGTGTTGAGCGTTTCTTATGAATCTTTGTAGCGCTTGTACACTTTATGGAAGGCTATCTTGGTTTATAATACTCCTTTATCTTATATATAGTCAAGTGTTGAGCGTTTCCTATGAATCTTTGTAGCGCTTGTACACATTATGGAAGGCTATCATGGTTTATAATACTCCTTTATCTTATATATAGTCAAGTGTTGAGCGTTTCTTATGAATCTTTGTAGCGCTTGTACACTTTATGGAAGGCTTTCATGGTTTATAATACTCCTTTATCTTATATATTGTCAAGTGTTGAGCGTTTCTTATGAATCTTTGTAGCGCTTGTACACTTTATGGAAGGCTATCTTGGTTTATAATACTCCTTTATCTTATATATTGTCAAGTGTTGAGCGTTTCTTATGAATCTTTGTAGCGCTTGTACACTTTATGGAAGGCTTTCATGGTTTATAATACTCCTTTATCTGATATATAGTCAAGTGTTGAGCGTTTCTTATGAATCTTTGTAGCGCTTGTACACTTTATGGAAGGCTATCATGGTTTATAATACTCCTTTATCTTATATATAGTCAAGTGTTGAGCGTTTCTTATGAATCTTTGTAGCGCTTGTACACATTATGGAAGGCTATCATGGTTTATAATACTCCTTTATCTTATATATAGTCAAGTGTTGAGCGTTTCTTATGAATCTTTGTAGCGCTTGTACACTTTATGGAAGGCTTTCATGGTTTATAATACTCCTTTATCTTATATATTGTCAAGTGTTGAGCGTTTCTTATGAATCTTTGTAGCGCTTGTACACTTTATGGAAGGCTATCTTGGTTTATAATACTCCTTTATCTTCTATATAGTCAAGTGTTGAGTGTTTCTTATGAATCTTTGTAGCGCTTGTACACTTTATGGAAGGCTATCTTGGTTTATAATACCCCTTTATCTTATATATAGTCAAGTGTTGATCGTTTCTTATGAATCTTTGTAGCGCTTGTACACATTATGGAAGGCTATCATGGTTTATAATACTCCTTTATCTTATATATAGTCAAGTGTTGAGCGTTTCTTATGAATCTTTGTAGCGCTTGTACACTTTATGGAAGGCTTTCATGGTTTATAATACTCCTTTATCTTATATATTGTCAAGTTTTGAGCGTTTCTTATGAATCTTTGTAGCGCTTGTACACTTTATGGAAGGCTATCTTGGTTTATAATACTCCTTTATCTTATATATAGTCAAGTGTTGAGTGTTTCTTATGAATCTTTGTGTAGCTTGTACACTTTATGGAAGGCTATCTTGGTTTATAATACCCCTTTATCTTATATATAGTCAAGTGTTGAGCGTTTCTTATGAATCTTTGTAGCGCTTGTACACTTTATGGAAGGCTATCTTGGTTTATAATACTCCTTTATCTTATATATAGTCAAGTGTTGAGTGTTTCTTATGAATCTTTGTAGCGCTTGTACACTTTATGGAAGGCTATCTTGGTTTATAATACTCCTTTATCTTATATATAGTCAAGTGTTGAGTGTTTCTTATGAATCTTTGTAGCGCTTGTACACTTTATGGAAGGCTATCTTGGTTTATAATACTCCTTTATCTTATATATAGTCAAGTGTTGAGTGTTTCTTATGAATCTTTGTAGCGCTTGTACACTTTATGGAAGGCTATCTTGGTTTATAATACTCCTTTATCTTATATATAGTCAAGTGTTGAGTGTTTCTTATGAATCTTTGTAGCGCTTGTACACTTTATGGAAGGCTATCTTGGTTTATAATACTCCTTTATCTTATATATAGTCAAGTGTTGAGTGTTTCTTATGAATCTTTGTAGCGCTTGTACACTTTATGGAAGGCTATCTTGGTTTATAGTAACCGTTTTATCTTAAATATAGTCAAGCATCTGACCCGCTTTCTGAAACAGGGCCCTGGGTCAAGTTCGAATTAGACTGTAAGATATATTTATGATGAGAGATAGCACCTTTCTTTTGTTCTATACGGTCACTACAAAGTTTGAAGTTTGAAATTTTTGAACACATGTTCATAGTTTTGTCTCACTGATTCAAGAATTTTGTTAATATAGCTTCAGAAAACATCATAAAGCTTCTCTTGGCTACATGACAATTCTTTCTGTACTATTAATTCAATCAAGTCGTTTCTGCCATCAACGTCTATCTGTAAACTTGTTGATTGTTCATTTTGACAACATTTTGTGAAGGTCACGTGGTATGTAAATCATATGTCAAGGGAGGGGCAATGAAATAAGTGGCTCTTCCATTGTTTACCGATCCTGCAACATCTTACTGGTGGAAGTAAATCTGTTTAGGTAAAATATAGCAAAGTTTTGATGGTGAACATGGAGGTGGGTCCAAATATCGAAATTCTGACCCTAATCATGAAGGTTGGTCCTAAAATCGAGGTTTAGGCCTCGTACGTGGAGGTGGGTCCCAATATCCATGTTTGGACCTTAATCGTGAAGGTGGGTCATAAAATCGAAGTTTAGACCGTGAACATGGAGGTGGGTCCCAATATCCATGTTTGGACCTTAATCGTGAAGGTGGGTCATAAAATCGAAGTTTAGACCGTGAACATGGAGGTGGGTCCCAATATCCATGTTTAGACGTCCGAGGGCGGTGGGGTAGCCTAGTCGTTAAAGCGTTGGCTCGTCACGCCGAAGACCCGGGCTCGAATCCCCACATGGGTACAATGTGTGAAGACCATTTCTGGTGTCCCCCGTCGTGATGTTGCTGGAATATTGCTAAAAGCGGCGTAAAACCAAAGTCAGTCAGTCAGTCAGTTTAGACCTCAATCGTGAAGGTGGGTCCTATTATAGTAGTTTTGGTCCTTGGTGGAAAGCCCCAGATACCCCTTGTATCCCGAATGCTTTGAGTATATGGATCATAACAAAGTTCGGAGCGGATACGGAGAAAATGGACCCCAGCGAAAACGGACCCAATAAAAATCGAGAAAACGGCCACCGTGCTGGAGAGAAAGGCCTCCGAACAAAGAGAAAACGGCCATCGCGCTGGAGAGAAAGGCCTCCGAACAAAGAGAAAACGGCCACCGCGCTGGAGAGAAAGGCCTCCAGACAAAGAGAAAACGGCCACCGCGCTGGAGAGAACTGCCTCCAAACAAAAGAGAAAACGGCCACCGCTGGCTGAGAGAACTGCCTCCAAACAAAGAGAAAACGGCCACCGCGCTGGAGAGAGAGGCCTCTGAACAAATAGAAAACGGTATCTGTGCCTTGAGAAAACGTCCAACATAGATCAAAAGAGAATATATAATTATATATCCTTCAATGCGGATAAGCTTTAAATTTAACAATTGATTGATTGTTTTTTTAGTTTCGATATCCATAGCGGTTTAACCTTAGAAGATTGATTGGTTGTTTCGATAGTTACCGGGTACAATGAACAAAACCAATTTGACTGATTGTAGATTTTACAGGTACGAGTAGTTGATAGAGAAAAAGCCGTTAAGGTAGTGTTTATATTGACGAGCGGATTAGTAGTACTGATTCCAACTTCTGTTCTTGTAGTTCTGCAATGGTCCCTAGTAAGGTGATATACCTTCAGTTGTTGGTATTCTATAGCCTGTTTTATACTGTATTCTCATTTATGTTGTGTGGCATTAAAGGCTTTTAAAGAGGTCACTTCACATTGTTTATTTTCGCTCTTAATGAACCCCAGGGTATATATAATATCCACAAACTATAGTTAAAAACGGTAATATTTCATTATACAGCTTGTATTAGGAATCTAAAACGCACCTCCCACGAAAGCATTTCGCGATTACGCAAGATAATGAGGTAGATGGTCACGTGGTCGCGTGACGTCATACCGGAGACTCGCTAAAAGTACTATCAGCACAGGAAAATACAGTGGTACCGAGCCTGTTAGCTTACTGAGGTCTGCTTCTAGGTTAGCAAATAAATCAATCCACGAAGTCAAACCTGGATTTGGATGACATACTAGATACAGATAATATCACATGCATACAACCTTTTCAATTTGAAAGTATTTCTAGCGGCAAGACCAACAGGAATATTGACGACGATTCCACCAGTTGACAACATACAGACGTGGGACGATCCCGACTATGTTTTGAATAGACCTACTGCAGACTGGTATACAAGTCACTTGCCTATCACATGTTCATGGAAAACTGATTATAGATACTGAATTAATTTTTCCGCGGTCAGGGGTAAAATTTGCAGTCATGATAACGGCAATGATCAATGTGTTGAGCCTGTCTTCCGGTATACATCGGTATGGGAAGGTAAACACTGAAATAGTTACGTTCGAGGTTCATGATTTTATGACGTTTATTAAGTAACTTTCAGCTTTATTTCATAACATGCGTCTTCTGCTAAATGTATCCGTAAAGGTTTTAGTATGGAGATAATCTTTTCTATAAAATACGTTTCGTTACGGAAGTCGATAAGTTTGATGTCACTAGTATATTGTAAAGAAGTACCCTAAATTCGTTAGTTTAGGTTTTCGGAGAAGTCGGTGTGTCGTCTCTGGTATGGTGCATCAAACATCAGTTTTATTACATTACAAAGGATCGGGTTATATGTGGTGATACATAGTCATATAAGTCTGTGAAATATACATAAACTGTAAAGTGATAAAGACCTATAACCGCCTTAACAGCTGATAATAGATATAATAAATACATATAGATGCAAAAAAACCTTATCTTTCTCTGTAACTGTCAGTTAGTGAAAAAGAGAATTCTCCATTGTGTTCTAGTAGTAATGTGTCAAGTGTGATCAGTCCCAAAGAAAGACCAGCGATCAAATCAAGAATTCGAAACCAGCACACAAAAATTAAAGCAAATGATTTATTTGCATACAAACTGTTTATGACAAAATAATGAATACAATGTGTACACCAACATCATGAAGGCAAAGTCTGAGAGGAAAATAGATATGAGGATTAAAAACCAGTGTCTTTGCAAACAAGACTTAGTGTTGACTCATTAGTTAGGGAAAAACATGCAGTAATAGCAACAGTGTGTTGTTGTTTTCAAACTGGAGTGCACCAGTTCAACAAACAATTATTGATTGTCTGAATTATATTTACCACGTGTTGGTTTCTTGTTCACTGGCTTGGCCTCTTGGTTTAGGCCTAGGGGTAGCTGATTGTAGATTTGGGTTCTCCAGTCTTGGTCACTTCTAGGGTATTTAGTTTGTTTTCATTGATGTGAAATGCTGTCATGTACATCCTAAAAAATGGCATTAAAGTAACATTTTTACATTTGCCAAAAACAAAACCCACAAAGAAATACATTATCTGAATGAACATATTTCCCTGATTTCCCATTTTTGAATGTGGGTTAAAAGTTACAGCTGCCATGATGTTCTTACAAGGGGTCCATAAATACCTGAGTTCAATGTCAGTGTAGGGCAGTCATTTTCGTTTTATTTATTGTACATTGCACACGCACACACACACGCACGCACACGCGCGCGCACGCACACACACACACACACAAAACAAAATTCACATACCATTTTAACATGGTAGGGGATCAGTCCCTGGTGCAAGTTCTCATTTGTCCATGCCCACCCTATCCCAATCCCTCCACACACACTCACACCACAACACACCCGTCTCGGGAAATAGATGACTTGGCCCTACTGCAATAACAGTGGCTGTGAAAATATATCTGTGAACGAAAATAGGACTTGAGCGCAAATTATGACGGACTTGTTCATCAACTATTGCTTTATATAGCTAGCTACTGGAGTGTTTCTGTTGCTCCAAACAACTACATCTTAAAACTCACCTGCAACCAACGTCACGTCCGGAGCGCAACTCTCTCGGTCTCAGCCCCAAGTTGACATCTCGGCCTCTGTGTTTGTTTGGATTGTCGAAAGGAATGCCCGATATATAGAATCCTTATAAAGTTTTTCCTATTCGTATCCATATTTCGCCAGAGGTTATGTCTCTTTCATAGCACTTCTACGAAAAGTGTAACGAACACAGATGACCGTGCGTGGAGGGGTTCACAAAATCAGCACGACGACAGTAAACAATCTGTGCCCTTCCTCTTGTCAAATAATATTTCTTAGAAATGTACATCTGTGTTATTTCCGCAGTTGGATAATCATCAAAACTGGAAGTGCAGTTGTCAGTTTCCATTACATAATCACAACAACGCTTCATTCAAAATATTGCGCCTCGTGTCACTTTCAACTCGATGGCGTATACACTACTGAAATGTCAACACACTGAGCGACTCTCTGGTATGACGTCACACCCACAGACGTCAGACTGCTAAAAAAATAAATATGCATGTGAGTGAGCGGGGCTAAAGTAGTTTTAGTTTTGGTGCATATTTATAAGTTTACGACTATTTTTCGTAAATGGATGGTGCAGATGTGGTATTTATTCATGTTTGAATGGCATTATGTAATAAAACTGCCTAGAGTTAAACCTTTTTAAAAATCCTTTAAATTTAATTTCTATTTTTAAATTTATAACTGCGATAAACTATGTTCTTTGAGAGGCATTTTAGAAGTTGTGAAGATGAAGGATGTGGCTGATTTACCAAGGGGGTCGAGGAGACGGGCAATGTGTGGACGGTGTTTCTGGAGCAGACTAGTAGGCGGGCCTTGATGGGGTCTTTGTGTACTTTGATGGTAGCGCGGGCATAGAGTGCACACGCACGCACTAGTTACCTTCACTACTAAACTGTAGAGTAGCCTGTGACACCGGGTGTCTATTGTAGAAGTAGTAAGAAAGAGGGTGTCTCTTTCATTTCCTTCTGTGTCTACGTATGTCCCACATACAGTAGTTACCATCAACACTAAACTGTAGAGTAACATGTGACACCGGGTGTCTATTGTAGAAGTAGTAAGAAAGAGGGTGACTCTTTCATTTCCTTCTGTGTCTACGTATGTCCCACATACAGTAGCTACCATCAACACTAAACTGTAGAGTAACCTGTGACACCGGGTGTCTGTATTGTAGAGGCAGTAAGAAAGAGGGTGTCTCTTTCATTTCCTTCTGTGTCTATGTAGGTCTCATTCAAATGAGCTACCATCAACACTAAACTGTAGAGTAACCTGAGACACCGGGTGTCTGTATTGTAGAGGGTAGTATCACAGAGGAGATCTCTCTTTCATTTCCTTCTGTGTCTATGTAGATTTCACATACACTAGTTACCTTCAATCCTAAACTGTAGAGGTGACATGTGACACCGGGGTGTCCGTGTATAGTACATAGTAGTGGGGTTATCTGCACATGCTACTATGTTTAGACACACACACACACACACACACACACACACCATTTCAATGAGCATTGTGCTGCTGTATAGCGTCAGTGTTCACTGTCTGCAGTGTGTCAGTGTCGTGGTCGACTCAATATGGCGTGACTTGCGCAACCGAAGATCACGGAAATGCACGAGTCATACCGAAAGTACTTGCATAGGCACAAGGAAGAAACAGTTCAGGGTGGTTTGTAGGGCACCAGTTGCTAACTGTCTAACCCCGTCTATCATCCGTCTAACTCCGTCTATCATCCGTCTAACTCAGTCAATCTTCGTTCAGTATTCAGCAGTGTGTTGCTGTTGTATGACAAGGTAAACTTTGTCCAGTGTTTTACTGGGTTTATCTTCGCCATTGTACACTGGACCTGTGTTAGTGAGACGTCCTTGTAACCCACCCGGATCTCGGAGGTGAAAACCGACACGGGTAAGTCAGCTTGCCTGTCTGTCCTAGATAATTCCAGCATGTTTTCGCCACAGCAAATCACTCATAACAAGATTACAGTATGATTTATTTACTATATTCCATTTTTGGTTTAATTTGATCCTAACCATTGATGACGTCATCACTATTTATCTACACTCCAATTCAAAAGGCAATACGGTTATGTACAAAGGCTGTCATGGATAACAGTAATTAAAGTCAGCTAGAATGAAATTCACGTAGCAACAACAGGCAAAGGTTGATGTAAGAGTTGAGCGCTTTACATAACTGCTGTAAAGTGAGGGCGAACAGACAAGACACCATGGATAGAGGGTATTTTGAGAATGTGGAGGAAAATTGACTTCACTTTACTGTTACAGTTATCTTTAAATGCGATGTAAAGTGACAGTAATATCAGTCAGAGAAGTAACGTCTACGCGAAACTGTCTGTTGTTCGCGAGACGGATGTGCTCTGCGGTACTAAGGGAACCCCTCAATAACAAACAGGTCTGCGTTCGTTAGCCGAGAGCCGCGATGCCATTCGTAACTACTCGTGTCATTCCGGCAAGCCGGATGGCGTCTCGTACCCCTCTCGTGGCCATGTTTACGACTGGGCCCTGTCTAAGCCCAAACGGGCATGGAGATGAAAATAGTCTAGTACTATTGCCAAGGAAAGATAACTCTGAATTTCCAAACATGGCTCCCATAATATCCCATATCCCGTGGGCAAATCAGCGATACAGTCATTCCCTTTGTAAATATATTTCAGTGTTTAAAGTTTCTGATCCTTTAGCTCAAAGTTTCTGTTTAAATTGTGTTTTGCATAGTTTAGCGAAGTTTCAAACTTCAACGGTGCCGCAAGTAGTTACGAATGCCGTGATGCGGTCCTATACAGTCAAGACATGTCGGCTATGCGTTCGGTGAATGAGCTGTCAGAAAAATACTAATCTTTAGTTCCTGAAAAATATGCACAAAGGTGAACTCTGTTAAATATCTCAAATTTTGATTAATTCGTCTCGCGTACACGTTACGTCCTCTACTGAATACCAAGTGGTATTTGTGAGAGATGTACTTTCCGAGGTGTATCGGTCGATATGTCAACAATTGTGGACTGTAGTCCGACAAGTGTAGATATATCTGTCTTGTACCCACATTAAGATCTACCAAAGATTTGTATTTGTGCCCCATTTGTCCATCAATCAAGCACGAGAAAGTGGAGGGTGATTCAGTCGATAATACCATGTTAACATCGAATAAACTATCAAATTTGGTCTTGACCCGGTATGGCTTCATGGTACTTCCTCAATACTGTCACTTCAGTTTTAGTGGGCTGGACGGTTGTAGCCCGGGAAAGCCACATTTAAGAAAAAATAGAGTTGAAAATGGTGTGGCTCAAACGGCAATGGGTATGGTTGAGTGATCATGTGAAT